TCGTCTCTGTGAGTGAGGAACGATGCAACATGCCCCCCACCCCGTGCTGTCTATCAATAGAGGATAATATAGGGGGAACAAGTAAATATATTTATGTATTTAACTGTTTAAAGAAGAAAGACAGGGGGAAATTGGACTCATTTGCGCTGTGATGCTGGAGAAGACTCCTGAGCATTCCTTGGACAGCAAAGGTGACAAACAAGCAAGTACTGGAGCGCATAAAAACAGACATGCCATCGGAAGGGAAAATCACAAATCTGCGACTGACTTATTCCGGCCATGTCACGCGGAAGCAATTATGCTTGGATTTGTTGTTGTTGTTCAGTCGCACAGTCGAGTCCGACTCTTCGCGACCCCATGGACCAGATCACGCCAGGCCCTGTCTTCCACCGTCCTCTGAAGTTGGCTCAATTTCATGTTCGTTGCATCTTTGACACTGTCTAACCATCTCATCCTTTGCCGTCCCCGTCTTCTTTGACCTTCAGTCTTTCCCAGCATCAGGGTCTTCTCCAGTGAGTGCTCCCTTCTCATTGGGTGGCCAAAGTCTTTGAGCTTCAGTTTCATTATCTGGCCTTCCAGGGAACAGGCAGGGTTGGTTTCTTTCAGGATTGACTGATTTGATCTCCTTGCAGTCCAAGGGCCTCTCAAGAGTCTTCTCCAGCACCACAGTTCAAAAGAATCTATTCTTCGGCGCTCGGCCTTCCTTAGAGTCCAACTCTCGCAGCCATACATGACTATGTATAAATGCTTGGATTGGTTAGCGGCAAAAGGAAACCGGGCCGCCAAAGAACACAGTAGCTAGACACCATAGAAGTCGACACCAGCCTGAGCGTTGAACGACCCAAAGAAACAGTAACAAGACCGGAAAACGTGGAGAGAGAGAGCTGGCCCGTAGAATTGCCCAAGAGTCGAACACAACGGAATGGCTAACAGCAGCAAAAATTTAAACCACAGTTTTCTCCCCAACAGTGGCTCACAACATCAAATCTCCTCCTCCATTTCCCCTCTCAGAACAGCAACCCTGACCACTGAACCACACAGGCTGAGAAAAAGTAGTGGAAGTAGGGATGCCAACCTCCAGGGGGTGGCGGGAGATCTCCTGTGATTACAACTGATTTCCAGCTGACAGAGATCAGCTCCCCTGGAGAAAATGGCTGCTTTGGAAGGTGGATGTTATGGCATTGTACCCCATCGAAGCCTCTCTCCTCCCTAAACCCTGCCGGCCTCAGGCTCCACCCCCCCCAAATCTCCAGGTATGTCCTAAACCAGAGCTGACAACGCTAAGTAGAAGGGGTGGTGATGGATGCTCAGCAAAACGCAGTAAGCCTCTGATGGGTTGCATGAGAAACTGTTCCACAGGTATGCCATTTCTTAGCTTGCTTGGGAAAACTGCCATGGTTGTCCAAGGCATTTCACAGGCAAGGGTCAGGGAGTGTTTTCAGAGGCATATGGGGAGCCGGTCTGGTGTAGTGGTTAAGAGTGCGGACTCTAATCTGGGAGAACCGGGTTTGATTCCCCCACTCCTCTACATGCAGCTGCTGGTGAGACCTTGGGTCAGTCACAAGTTCTCTCAGAGCTGTTCTCTCAAGGACAGTCCTCGGGAGAGTTCTCTCAGCCCCACCTACCTCATAGGGTGTCTGTTGTGGGGAAGGGAAGGGAAAGGAGATTGTAAACTGCTCAGAGACTCCTTCAGGTAGTGAAGGGCAGGGTATAAATCCAATCTTCTTCTTCCTCCTCCCCTGCATTCTCCTCCTCTGGCCCTGCCACTGCCTGCCTGTGTTCTGCTCACATGCCTCCCCTGTCCAAAGCTAATTCTTAAGATGGGGTCTGTGTCACTTTTCGCCCACCCCAAATCCAGTGTCTGGACTTGCATTTTACTGGCAGAGCTGTCCTACAGCGTGAAAAAGAGCCTGGTTTATATAAACATAATCACCGTATTTCTAAAGTCCGCACAGGGTTGGGTGCCGTAAATAGGCAATACAAAACCAGTGCTGCCCAGTGTGGAATAGTGCTTAGAATGCCAGCCCAGGATCTGGGAGACGCAGGTTCGAATACCCTGCAACGGAAGCTTGCCAGGCGACTCCTGGCCAGTCACACACTCCCAGCCTCACCCACCTCCCAGGGTTGTTGTGAGGATTAAACAGGGGAGAGGAAAACAACATAAGCTACTTTTCGGTTCCCATTGGGAGGCAAGGCAGGGTACAAATGAAGTAAGTAAACAAACAAACAAACATCTAGTGCTACCAATACGGCCATGAGAACATAAGAGACGCCATGTTGGATCAGGCCAATGGCCCATCCAATCCAACACTCTGGGTTCGTTCAGACAGGGCATTTGCAACGGTATAGGTGCCGGTTGGAATTGGTGTACATACCGGCGTTCACACGGCGAACATCTGCCTTTCGTCCCTAACCGTTGCAAAGAGCTTTACACCATTGTGTTCTGCCACTAGGTCCCCAAGTGGTGGTATCCTGAGTGCAATGGTTGTAATCGCTTTACCCCCGTCTGATCGCTCTCCAACATTGTAGAGCTGCTTCCGATTTTCGACCGCCATTTTTTTTTGTTAGGTCAGCAATATGCGCTTGGGCGAAGCTTCGCCCCGGCGTTTGTTTTTTTTTTAAAAATAAAAGGTCCTTAGTTCAAGGTTTTGGAGGACTCCGAGACCTCAGGGAGGCCAGTTTGGTCTTTAAACTTTAAAGGTAAGCCCTTACCTTTAAACTTTAAATGTAAGACGGGGTGTTTTGCACATGCGTGAAGATTGCCATTCTGTGGATGGCTGCCTATGCGCATGTTCAAACTGAGTTAAAAAAAAAAAACACGCCGACGCCCGCTGCATGTGAACGGGCATACAGCGATGGGCTCCGCAGACAGGAGGTAAGTGTGATCGTATTTCAGCCGGCATAAACTGCACCGGTTCCAAACGGTACAGTTTATGCCGGCTGAAACGCCCCGTCTGAATGCACCCTTCTGT